CCTTTCGATACAGACTTTAGTTTTTGTTGCCCATCACTGTTTTAGGCCACAAAGTAGGGTTTAGGTACCGAAAACGGTTCATTTTTGAAATTATGTCGTACGGACGTAGGTACGATTTGATTTAATTGAAGTATATTTGAATTTATTTAATAATATTAGTAAAAACTGTTCAATAAAGTTTCATTAACAAAATTGATTTATTAGAAATGTAAAATAACCAATATAAAAGTATATCTATATATTCTAAGTAGGATAGTACGAATTATTTCCACCAGAGCGCGTTTTGTTAATTTGCTTAATTGGTTAGTTATATTTTTACACTCTATATATTCATTACTGGATACCGCATTCCGGATAGCCGTTTTGACCTCTCATGTTTATTTTGTTTTCGAATATACTAATATATACATGGATAGAACCATGAAGACTAGAATTAGGAGACCAAACTGTTCTTCAGATAACGTCCCGAAATGAGTCGCAAGATTAGAGAGCCACAGGCTGCGCTGCTTACTCTACGGTTGCTACTTTAACCCACGTAGTAATATGATTTATTTAGGTGTTATTTTGGAAAATATATGCACTATTTTAAACCATGAACTTTTTAGAGACTACAGCTTGTACAATTACGCATTTATGGGAACTAGATTATAATTTTAAATGTAAATACTTATTAGTTAATACTATAAACAAACTATAAAATCTAAAAGGGTAATGGTTCAAAATAATTCATATATTCCCCAAAAATGTATTAAAACATGAATAATAACTAAACTACGTGGATTAAAGTAGTAACCCTAACGTACGTAGCGCAGCCTGTCGCCGTTTAATTATGTAACTCATTTTGGAACGTTCTTTAATTTGGGAGGCTGAAAAAGCTTGGTCTGCGTATTATAGTCTTCATGGATAGTGATGTGTATAGATTATGTGGTAGGGTGTGTGCCTGAAGTGAATACATGTTACCGCAATAGTAAAATTATATTCGGTTATAGCAGGGGTATGACACTCCATGAATAGACCAAATCGGGCGATTGTGACCTTGAACACGGTCTCCAGGGGGCCTGGAATACATTAAATATTGAATTTTAAACAAGTCACATCGCAGCTTATCCCGCCTATGTTCCGGGAAAATTTTACGTCAACGGGAGACTTTGGGTCTAATATCATGTTGGTGCCCGGAAACGTTTCCATGTTTTTCTGAGGTTCAGACTTCAGATCATAGGAAAACAAAAACCCAATCAGCTGATCGAGTGTCGATTCTATATTGTTCTATGGTTATAGCTTATTGCTATCTTAATAGCCTACTTTAATAAGTGATTACACCAAAAAAATTATAATCTCAATATTGATAACAGTATAATATAATCTATGTTGATTAAATGATTTTACCATAAACCGTTACTATGACTACAAGTAACCAGTATGGTAATACATATTCTCTTAGGTCACATTATACAGTGTATATTAGGCATATGGATGTAATATGGATGTATATAATATTATCTATGTGGTCGACAGATATGTGTTTTTTTGTTGATTAGGTTTGGTTAGGTTTATTGTTTAATTCAAGAACCTCATAGTGTCTAATTGCACTTAATTCTATTAAGTATTCACTAAGGCGTGTAGTTAATTCTCAATTATTAATTATTACAAAGACTTTATTCTATAACTATTATTTTATTTCATTAAATGTACCAAAATTAACCACATGATTAATACATTTTTTTTGACAATCCAAAGATTTTTTAAATTATTATTAATGTATCTTCTGTCGCACAAGTATAAAACACATTCCTAACATTTTGGCCTTTCCCTACAACCCACCTCCCTCCAATCATAATACCTTAAATTAATTTCAATCGTATTCAATATTACTTTAGTAGCGCTTCAACCTAAAATCTCAAATGCTTTCTCTAATACTATCCAATGGATACAATATAAATCATTTATGATTATATAATATTACTAGCTGTCCCATCCGGCGTTGTCCAGGCCAACAATTTGTAGTTTTATTAAATATATTTGTACAAAATATATGTTCCATATTTCATCTAATTATAATATTAATATAATATGTCACCAGTTATATTAATTTAGATAAACAAAAAATGCTAATTTCTACAAATGATTTTTCCTTTTAGTATAATATTATAGTCTGTAAGTTGTAATCAATAGTAACCGTTTATACACAAACAAAATATTTCACAATATAACACTACCTACAGAATATCGAAAATATCGTATTTATTTATTTATCCCCTACCCATCGCAGCAGTAAAATTTTTTTGTCTTGTGTGATCGTTAGATGTGGACGTAAACCGTGTTCGGACTCTGGATCAAATAATAATTATCCCAACACCACCCCTACATTTTAACTTCTCTTTTATTCACTTTTAATCTTTTCTTTACAATCTTTTCTTTTCTTTTCTTTATTATCTTTTTAATATCTAGTTCTATCTCCAGACATAGTTCACTTGTACCTTCTACGCTTTGGCTGTGAAAATGAAGTATTTGCGATGATCAAGTTGTTCTTCACAAAACTACTTTAGTAGTTCACTTTAGTCTCTCACATCTTTGGTTTTTTTTCCCAGTCCAAAATAACCTAAAATACGTTGCTCTTGTAGTTCTTGCTCAACTCCATTGCAGTCTCCCATGATTATCAGATTATCCTTCTAATTTGATAACTTTATAACTTCCTCAATTTGTTTATAATTTTCCTCAAATTCATCGTCTTAGTGATTAAATGTCGGTACAAATACTTGAATAATGAAGAGGTTTACAGGTTTTATATCATGTTTAATAGCAATTATTCTATAATTGTATTAGTCTGCGGTGGTAACTCTTTTTCATAATTATACCTACACTTGCTATTTCGTTATCATCTCCAGAAAAAATGAATCTACAATCATCTGAACATATATCACCTTGATCAGGCCATTTCATTTCACTCATGACTAGTAGATTAATATTATAACGATTCATTTCCAATTTGAGATTTTCTAATTTTGTACATACCCTTAGGAATCTCTTAGTACATGTATCAAATCTCCTTCTCTTTTTTTATGGTATAGTAGTGTTAGTCCTTGCCGGAGATCCGAAAGGGTAACTCTTTTACCTCCAGAATTTTTTAACTCTACCTTATTCATCATCAAAAATCAATATACTAAGGAAATAAAATGCAGTAAGTTCCACTGGCTTTCTACATCGCATTTGGAGAGTCAGTTCCTAGAAAATGCCCAAGCGGTTTGCACCATGTCCTCCTAATGCCGTTAGATCTAATTCAAAAATCGCCAATAGTCGGTAGTCGCCGCTACCCTATTTTAATTGCCTCTTACGATAAGCAGTAGTTACTGTTGGCCTATTATATGCCCCAGCCAATAGGGGCTGATTAAAAAATAATAAGTTAAAATATGGAGTATATCTTTATATTTAACAGTTGGCTCTTTGACTTATTAGTTGTTAATAATCTAACAATTTGAAAACCATTTTATCAGTTTAATTGTCACTGCTTGTATATTTTTAAAATTATTATGTAAATAAACTATTGAATAACTTAAATAAGAACTACAGTTCAACAGTTATTTACAGAATGGTTAGGTATTTCCAAGGAAGGTACGAAGCTCGATGATGCAACTTTTATGATTTCAATAAAAACTCCGAGTCTTCTTGTTGATCAAGTGTATGTGACTTGTCTATCGGAATTCAAAGTTCCTTGGGATCCACCATATTAAACTTGCATAATTTGTCTGATTCACAAATAATGAACCATTGTTTATTATGTCTACTTGCATACCTAGAAAATATTCTACATTTTCCACCTTTTAGCCTCAAACTATGTTTCCAAGCTTGTAAAAGTTTCTCTATTATGTCTTCGTTATCTGCGGTGATTAAACCATCGTCAACAAATATTCCAAAAGTAATATGACTGTCATTAGTTTTAAATACACACACATCTGCGCCACTTGATTGTAAACCAAATGTATTCAAAAAATCATTGAATCATTTGTTTCAACATCTTGGATCTTGTTTCAACCCATAAAAACTTCGTTGAAGTTTACATACTTTATTCGAACCGTCTTCATAACCCGTTGGTTGTAACATGTATAGAATAATATTAGTTATTAAATAATGAAAAAATGTTTTTAATGACAATTATTATTTAAAATATTTACTTTGAATGTGAACATTATATTTATAATAATCTAATCTCATACTGATAAATGTTTTTTTTTTCAGATCGAGAAAGTGTATATACACTAAACCGTATATTGATAGGTTGTTTAAACAAATTTTGTTTGATATAAATCAGGTTAATATCTATGGATTGAGTGCAGAAGTCCTATCGAAGTATAAAATGTAAGTTTGTCTTAATATTTATATATGATAAGGTATTTTAGTGATAATACAAAAACTGAAGCTTGAGGATGAACCAAACAAATGCTAAATATTTTATTCGATTTTTTTTTATTCACAACCGAACTTTTTAAGACTAAAAACTTTTTAAAATTTAGAATTAATAAATTTATGACGAGTTATAAGAAAAATATATTCACCACAAATGTTTTTTTCTGGAAGTCCTCTTTCATAATGTAAGAAGTAGTAATATATCTAGTATTATTTGACGGTGGCTTATCGTCTAGACACTCTAGACGAACAATAAACATTTCGATTAAACCGTATCTTAAATAGTAGAACGGATAGACCACACATTACATTATAACCTTTCAATTAATCTATTAAGCATTTGTTTTCGTTCGATTTTAGATCAATTTGTAATATAACCGATGAGTCAAAGTTGTATGTAATTTCTACTTTAAATAAATAATTGTATAGGGGCGCTTTAGAAGAATGTATAAGTAAATACTAATAATACATTTTTTAATACAAGAATATTATGAAGAATATTTATATGACATTTATATCAAAATACTTATTAAAGTGTATTTATTAATTTTAGGAGCTTAATTAAAAAAAATGATAATATTCTCGAAAATTATGATAGTATGTCTAAAGAAAATGATACGCCTAAAAATGATAAAAGGTCAAAAGATGATGAAAAGCCTAATGATATTAAAACTTCTGCAGATGCTAGAACGTCTAAAGATGTTAAAACAGCTAAAGAAAATACATCTATAGACGATGAGCCTTCTAAAAAGAAGCAAAAGGTGGATAGAAATGGAATAAATGTTTTTGAATTATCTAGAGATTGTGAGACTAATAAATGTAAATCACAATTAAAATCTTCATTAAAACCCATTAAAGAAATTGATTCTACTGAGGATTTACCCATGGAAATAAGTTGCGAAGAATCTACCAAATCCGAAAATTCTTCAGCTAAAAAAGTAAAACCAATTATCTGGGTCAAGGATATTAATAAAATGATGGATTCAGATCAATGTATTAGATGGCTGGAAATGATCAATTTTATTCAAAAACCCAATCATCTAATAAATGGCATGAAAGTAGTAGCAGGCCATAAATTCTCTACAACCAGACCTATAGTAAATGGAGTTCAACAATCTTTAAAAGTCAAAAAAATTAATAGGGAGTATTTAATTAAAATTGAAAAATTATATAAAAAGTATTTTTTCAAATCCGTAAATGATACTATTGTCATTATTGCAAATATTATCAACATAATTGAAATGTCTAACCAATATCACAAAGAACGAATAAATAAATCTTTTAATAAAGGAACTAAAGCTGAAATAATTAAAGAAAGATACGATGCCGGACTATTAAACAAAAGGCATAAAACAATTCTAGAAACAAAGTTGAAGAAAAATTTTAAAGACGTTGTGTCATCGTTTGAAGAGTCAGAATTTGATTTAGCATTTCAATTGTTTTTTATAAGTATATTAAGTGTACATAAAGTTTTGAAGCAGCCAAAACTCAAAAAAGGTAGCATCTTCAGGAGTTTAGTACTTTTACTAAATGATAGTTTGGAGAACAGTGAATATCCAAAAATATTTTCATTGATCCATTCAAAGACATTTCGACCTAACTGCATCGATTTAATAACTCAAATTAAAGATAGTCGGGTTATTGACCCCGGAGTCATCAATCGTATGCCACTGTTGTTTGAACCACCAAAAAAAAGTCTGGAATATTTTCAATCAGTTATTAAAGATGTCAACCTTGATTTGAAAGAAGACCTGGAAATATTAATCGATAATGCTGCTTCCCATTGTTCCATTAATTCAATATTTAAGGATCGTGTCGATTCATCTACTGTAACAGAAACCATTCAAAGCCCTGTCAACTCAGATGGAACTTACCAGTAAGCTTTTTTTTCATATCTAATTACATTTCATATCGAATATATTATATTCAATAAAAATTACGGCGGTATTGTTTATTCAGCGGTAGTTCGGTCGCAGATTCGATGGTGGTTGTGTTTGGCGTGGATGTAGGTGACACTCACAATAATAATAAACCACGCAATATTCGGGGCTTTAGTTTAAGTCCTCGGGGCACAAGAATAATGTATTCAACTATGGTGTATGATTATGCGATTATGCGATATCATATGATGGTAGGTAGACGAAAAATAATGGAGAGTAGTCGTGTCGATGGTCGGTGGACGGTGGTGTAAGTTGGATGGTATATGTAGAGAACGATAGAGTTGCCGCCAGCGACCGGTACTCACATTGCACGTCTTGCCTTCCTTTCCCGCCATGTGCCTTTGTGGCATGGTGGCAGAGTCGACGGTGTCGCTCTTTCATAGCCCGTGGTGGTGGTTGACAAAAGAGTAGACCAGTCGCTGCGGTACCTGTAGTTAGTACTGGTTGCCGCTGGGTACCGTGTCATACTCCTCCACCAAACCGATACACGGAGTACTCTCGTACCAGTTTAGGCGTCCCGTGAAGGGTCGGATCGCTCGTACTACCTCTGGCTTCCGCTTAAGGTACACTTTCCCTGGTTGTAGTTTGCCGGTGGCCCGTAGTCACCGGATCCTGCTGTTGGAAGCAGGTTGTCCTCCTGGTGACTTAGGTGGCTCGTTCTGGTCGTTGGATACCAGCCCCTGCTGCGACACCCGCTTCCCCTTGGCCGCTGGTTTTTTCTTGCATAAGGCGTAGATTTATTGGTGAAAAACAAAATTAAATAAACATAAAACAAAACTAAATAAACATTAAATTAGCAAAGTAACGAGGACTAGAGTAGATAGATTTACAATAAGCTAATAAATTTAACAATAACAAAAATAATAAAAATAAGAGCTCATAATATATTTAAAGGCGAACATTGGTCTTAGACAGTCAATCAATTGCTTCGTCATCGCCCTTGGAAGTTCCTCTATTCCTCCCTTGTATCTAGTTTGAGGACATTCCTCCACAATGTGTTTGATGGATTGTATTTACCCGCAGTCGCATAAGGGAGAGTTTTTTATCTTCCATTTATGTAGAAGGTAGTTACAATTACCCTGCTTCGTTCGTATTCTGTTTAGATTGGTCCATAATGGTTGTCGCAGTGGGACGATCAACCATCCGGACTGTGTTTGTTGGTCCGTGTGGAGGTGTTTTGCGTTTTTATGGGCTACTGTCGGGTCTACGTACGATTTTTGTGCCTATGAATCTAATAGGGCTGTTATGAAGCCTGTCGGAAATTCGGAATTTTGTCTGGTTATGTTCGCGTATTAGTCGTATTGCAATCGGTCGAGTTGGACAACTGGGTCTGAACTGCGATGGAGACTGTCTGATCCTCGGTGTTAACCGCCATTACCATTCTGTCAACATCGGTTGACTCGTTGCTCACCTGTTGCTTTATGTGCGTAGACTGACCTAATATGGGGATAAGCGTGGTGTATTCGCTCGTGTCCCCGTCACCTGTGCAGGTGAACACCCATGTCTCTGTTGCCTTTGTCTCTACACCTGTGTCTGCCCCATGAGCCAGTTGTTGTTGAACACACGTGTCAACGGTGAGGTGAGTGCGTTCAGTGGTGGGGTGGTGTAGGTTGGGGGTCTGTGAACGGGTGCCGTTTGGTGATGGGACGGAAAAAATGTTCACAGTTGGTTGTTCTGTTTTTTGAATTACCGAACTAATGGCTTTTCGATTACGTTTATTTTTTCCGTGTGTACTACCGATAGTGGGTGGTGATATTTGTGGGGGTGGTGATGAGTCGATGAGGGGGACTAGTCCTCGTCGACTCCGCGGCCGTTTTCCGACGTGGTCGCCTTTTTTGGACACTTGCTGTTCCAATGGAGTTCCCCACAATACTTGCACGGCACAGGTGGTTGTTTATCTGACGTTTTTGTTAAAAAATATTTTTTGGGGGGCTGTTTGTGGGGTATCCGGCCTTTTTCGGGGTTTAAGAGCCTATCGTTGGGGGGGGGGGTGTTGTCCATTACTATGTCGAGGACGCCTGCGATACGTCGTAGCTTTCTGAACATAAATGGTCTTTGTAGATGGATGTGAATACGGAGTGTGTCACGCATTAGTCCTGCTATAATACTTACCGATTCCGATTCCGATAGGCCGGTATTTACGCGGCGAGCTACCTGGTTTTTAATCAGCACAAATTTCGGTAGCGACTTTTTGGGCGTTTGTCGTGTTAACACGATGTCGGCGGTCAATTCTGATTGAATTTTGGAATTATTGAAATTTTCAAAAAAGTCTACCCTAAATTCTTCCCAGGTTAGTTCGAGTGCTTTGATGCACGTGTACTATGCACTCGCCGTTCCTTTCAATTGTGGCTCGACCACCCTGCACTAGCCCAAGGGGTGTGTATGAGCTTGCACCAAAATCGCCTCGGTATTATCTATAAACCGTATGGGGTCCTCGGCCCTTGTTCCAGAGAACTCAGGTAACGAAGCTCTTACTGTGCGCAAGTCCTCTTACGGTATTAGTACCGATCGTTTATGTGCGTGTAGGTGTAGTGTGACGCGTGTGTCGTGTGACCCGTTTAGTAGTGTTGAGTGTCGCGCGTGAAGAACGGTCGGTAGTTCAGGGTGGTAATGGGGATGGCACTCGGCTGAACGCCGGCTTCGTTGTACTTATACGACCTGCCCGACTGGTAGTCTTCGTGTGTACGAGTTATTACGTGAACAGGTGACGGGTGGTTGTGGAACCGTGGGACTGTGTTGTTGGGTGGCTGCAGTGCTGTTGATAGATGCGTTTCCTTAAAGAAACGCGTCATGCTTGCCTCAAGCCGCAGCAAACGTGACTCGAACGATTTCGAGTCACTCGTTTGTATCAACGTTTGCGTCAACATTTTTAACTCTTCAGCTGCTCTTTTAAAGTTGTCGGTCCCTAACGCGTGTGTGGACAGGCCCTGTTGCATTTTCGACTGGTAGCCGATCTGTCCTGGTTTGCCCTCCGTGGGTGTTTGTTGTCCTGAAAGGACTGAAAAACTTCTCCCGGACGGCTGTCTGTTGAATGTCGTGCTCCCGTGTCGACCAGCGTCGAAATCGCCCGATTGCTCTCCTGTACTGCTCGATAATTCTGTGGTTATCTGCTGCACGGGATCGAACCGCACGTTCGGTTGGTCTTGTACACTTGCGTGGATGTGTTCCTATAACCTAATGTTTAAATCTGACTTTAGCCCGGATATGCTGATCCCAAGGGCCAAGCACTCGCTACTTAGCTCCACCGACGTCAACTGTTGCACCGTTCTACATGTCATTGTGTAAAATTATCTACCAATATGGTCGTTACACTGTTGTATGGTCGGTGACTTGTGCTTGTTGCGTGTCGCGCTTTCGTAGGCTGTGGTGGCAGTTGACAAAAGTGTAGACCGGTCGCTGTGGTACCTGTACTTTGTACTGGTTGCCGCTGTGTACCGTGTCAATATATACATTTTTTTTTATTAAATTTAGATAGTTTATTGAAGCATTTAAAAATTCGCAAAAATAGAACTTTGATTTGCTAACTTCAAAAATAGATTTGGTAATATTTTCTAACGATTGGTGCTTGTTCTGGAACGATGAGACAAAGTGGATGGGTCAAGTTCATAGACGTTAAGACATAACCGTAGTACTGTACATTTTTCATAAATATTTGTTTTAACATTTCCATACATTGTAAAATTTTAAAATATTTGGAAATTGTTTTTATAGACATTTATTATGTTTAAATAACTATAAAAAAAATTTTGCCGGGTCAAAGTGCTTCAAAATTTAGTACAAGGTATCTCATATGTTTTTATAATAGCTGTTTAAAAATAATTTAGTTACGAAACCACGATTTTTTTATAAGAATATTAAAGTCAAAATTTATCAAAAAACCAATATTATTTTCTAGGTTGTTAAAACACAATTTTTATAGATATTTTATGTTACAGTTATGACTAAATTATATATTTAAACAAAGAATAAATATTTTAGTTATTTCCTTGTTAGGTAGTTAAATGTATTTTTTGGGGGGAATGGGGATTATAAGTGGGACGGACATGCTAGACGAAGCCAGAACAATATAATAAGGATGAATATGGACCACTAGGGAGACCTCGATTAAGATGAGAAGGGAAGATATGATAAAAAAAGACACAGAATGGAGGACCTGATTGGAAAGTATAAGCTTTTTATAGGGAAGGCTGGAGAATTGGATGAATTAGATGAGAGGAAGAATGGGGATTATGAACTTTTAAGATTTTTATTATATTTTATTTAGGTACACAATGTCACAGTGAAATTTTGAATACATTTAGGTTCATTTTATGATATTTTATGTGGTTGCTTAAATAATACTGAAAACATGCCGTTTATGATTCACACCGTCGCCGTCGGTATACATATTGAACAAAATGTCAAATCTTAATTACAATAATTTATAATATAAATATATGCTATTATAATAATTAAATATTCATATTTAAAAGGTAATATTATAAACGAAATGTTTTCAGCAAAAATGAATTCAACTTTCTAACTACCTACCTATATTAGAAATAACATATAAAATATACTTTGTAATATGGACTTCTTATACCGCCTTCACTTAGAGTCGTTCTTCGTATGTAATGGATTATCATTGAATATCAATTTAACACACATATAACAGCAACTTACTCAATGACGAGGTACACTCGATAATTATTGTATAGCAGAGTGGGTGTACTCACTTTCCCACTTTTTTATTGTCTGAATACACATTATACATGTAATACCTATTACAGATATTATACAATTTTCACAAATTAATAGTTGTAATTAAAATATCAATCAAAGATTTTAAGTTAAGTTATCTGTATAAACTTTTAGCAACTTAAGTTACATCTGTAATAGTCAAATTAATTTTGATTAAGTTGTAAATGTTCAAATACATATCAAAATTATTATTATGCATTAAATCCCTGGTTTTTTTAAATTAACACGTTAATATATATTGTTTAATTTAAATTTTAAATTTTAAATCCAAATAACTTCTAACTAGTACGAGTATTGCTTATTCCTTGGTTGTACATATTTATTCTATAATTTAAATGCCAGTATTGATTATTTTTGTTATATTTTTAGAAAAATAGATGTGGTGAATGTTGATAACTCTGAACCTATTTTGAATACTGAAGAAAACCCATCGATTGTAACGAACCAGCCGTCAAATCAATCATTTTCTTCTCCACTACAAGAGAAAACGTATGAACCTTCTACTTCTGAAGTGATACCAACAAACAAATGTTTTGTTGCTACGTCAACTGATTCCCGCGATCCTTTGGTGCACGTAACAGCACCTTTGTTAGAAACTACAACATTAATGCCAGAAGCAACTACATGTGTAGCGTCAAAACCACCAATGCAGAATAAAAAATCCGTTTCAAAACGTCGTCTTCATAGAGCAGAAGATAGCACTAATGTGATTGGAGTTAAGCATTATAAATTGGTTAATGTGCCAACAGGTCAAATGATAGTAGAAGTCAATGATAATAATCCTCAACCAGAGGCAACCTTATTGAATGCAATTGAACCAAAGCCAGTATCTTATCTCAAGGTATTTAAAATTCATCAATATCTATATAATTGTACACAAACACTGAACAGTACTTATTTTTATAATTTAATATTAGATTGTGAATAGATGATTTTTCTAAAAAGCAGTGTTATAAGACGAGTTTAAAATATTTAATCGGTCAATATAACCTGCTAAAGTGCTACACTAATTTATAGTTTATTTCATGTTTGTGGTTTTCAAAAAGTCATGTCGTCGTCTCAGAATGAAAAGGTTCTAACGCAATTTATGTAATTGTTCAGGGGAACGTTTTTAAGTAGGACATTGAATAACTTTTTTCACCATAATTACTAAATCGTGAAAATTGTATGCAATATCAAGAAAGTTCCAAAGAACACAACTTTATCTGCAAATTTGTCTTTCCTCAATTGTTGACTGAGTTAATCATAAAAAACCAAAATATTAGTTTTAGAATTAAAATGTTTTACGAGTAGAACTTTTTCATTCTGAAAATAAAAATTATTTATTTAGTTAGAACTTTTTCATTCTGATTTGAATCATTTTTTCTATGCAGTGATACCAACTTCTAGTGTAAACTATGTTATAAATTATACATTTTTTATTATGCAATATTTTTAGTTTTTAAGTTAAGTATTATTATATTATAACATACCCGTATATGTAGTGGGCGGGGGGCCCCCCCACCCCCTTAATTTGTTTTGTTGTGTATGTGCCTGGACATACCTACTATGAGTAATAAGTTACAATTGTATGGTCCATTGGCGCAATTAGTGTAGGGAAGGGGGGTATATTGAAAACGCAACAATATAAATTAAACGGCATAAATCATAATTCACAATAACGAAAAATGTCAAAAACGTAATTCAAATTTAAATGTACCATTTCTTATAATACTAAAGTAGGTACTATATACATGTGGCATGTAGGTATTACCTACCTTATCACCTCAACAAAACAAAAATAGACTGTAAATTTATGCTGGAATGCTGGAATAATATTTTATTATGGCACAATAATAATTTATATTGTACTAGTGGTATAACCGTATTATAACGGTACCTTTTCATTCTGAGATATTACATTTAACACCGTTTAGAACTATTTCATTCTTAATTATTGTTTAGGATCCTGTTGATTTTCGACAGTTACAATGTTTATTTTATAATTTAATATTGTTGATAAAATTTTCAAAATATTTTAAATCGTTTTGAGCGGTTTATTGGCATTTTAAATTTTAAATTTTTTTAGTTTTTTTTCGATTGATGTTAATAAAATTGTTAATGTATTGTGTCAACAAGCTTGAACATTTAATACAAGGCTTCTAATATTTAGTTACCATAGGAGTTGAAAAATATTAAAAATACATAGGCACGTTTTTTTTATAAGCATTTATAGTGAATTCGTTGACGACATTTCTCATTTGAAATTTTCCAAATCATTTATTACCTAGTTAATAAAATGTTCAACTTTTATAGCTAAGGATTAAAAATGTTAAACAATGTTCCGAATGAGTAATTCATTCTCAGACATTCTGTGACCTAAAACTCTAAAAAAATATAGAAACACTGTTTTTTTTTTTAATAGTTAGGTAGTTTAAGTTCAAATTTAGACGAAATAAAATATTAAATAACCCAGAATAACGATTTAGTTATTTTGTTAATATTTAAAAATATTATTCGTGGGGTCTTAAAACTTTTCAAGTGCATAATTATATACAACAAGATATCCTAGGCTTATAAATCGCCACCGCTCAGAATCTTTTTTCGTATACAATGGTATTATATCATTGAATTAAAATGTATACACCGTCAATTTATTACAGTCACACACTTGTAACCTACTGTACAGCAGAGTGACCCCCTTTTACCCACTTTTTTTTTATATTTGTACTAGCAAATATTTATGGTCCTAACTAACTAATCACCTGATAAGGGACGGTTAACCAAGTTATTTAAATTTACGACTAAAGAATGACTTGGTCAGCTACCAACTATCGAATAATTCAGTTGACTATTTTTTTTTAAAAATAATATGAGTATGATTATTTGCTATTATATTTTCATTATTACCAACTTGTTTTTTTCCTATAAACTGTTTATAATATAAACCATATTTTGAAAAAAGTATCTGAAATTTAATTGGAAGTTTTTGGGTTATTTAACTTTGTGTAAATGTTTGGTGCATGATATTGGTTTTAAAGATATGGGTATAAATGTATAATTAGTTTTAATTATAATATATTACGTACATTCTATACTTTTATAGAACTATTTTTATGGACTCTTATTCTTAATATATACATTTAAATTACTCAGAAACTACTAGTTTATAATTTGAATTTGGAGACATCTAAGTATAAAAAAATTATAGCATTTATTTTAATATTAAAAAAACATTTTTGTTGTCATTTTTTCTAGTGCCACGTGAGAAATTGTATCAACTCCGGCAAATTATTATGCAGTAAATGTCAAGCAGTGCAATACTGTTCCAAGCAATGCCGAGTAAGAATAGTTGCATATATTATTTGTTAAATAATTATTATATTGTGTTATTATTAATGTATTTTTTTCTTCTTTTAGAAACATGACTTCTCTGATTATCATAAAAATATTTGTCAACAAATGCAAAATATGAGAAGGACTCATATTTATCCACAATAAACTTTCCATTATATATATTCATGATATTTCAATGTAGTATATTTATATTAGTGGGTTTTTCGGGAAAATATTTTTACTTTTAAAAATAATTAATTGTGCCTTTTATTTTAATATTTCTTAAGTTTTTAAATTTATGTAATATTTTTTTTAAATAATTAATGATTTCGATTGATTACGTACCGTAAAACCGTGTTATTTTTGAAATATTTCTTTTTTATATTTAGTTTCAACTAAAAATATTAGTCTGATAAAAAGGGACTAAGCATGTAATATATATGTATTGCCTAATTTATTATTGACTAATACCTAATTTTATTGTAACTTGTAAGTTTTTTTTGTTTTTTTTTTTTTTAAAAGAATAAAATTAATTATTTATATTAATGATTTAATAAATATTAATCTTAATTGAATAATTATTATAAATTTAATAATTTTAATCTATTGCCTATGTATTCAACGAACCTATTACAGATTCAAACGGAACCATTTCACGGTAAGTCGGTGTTGACTCAAATGTTAAGAACAATTATCTATCTATATAAATATGAAAATGATGGAAATTTTTGTCACGCATGTTCATTACATTACCTACTGTTAAAATAGATAAATAATATTATGTTTAAAATAAATATTATTAATAGAAATATGACATTTACATATTCTACAAATATATTTTCTAAAAAAAAAAAATAAACCTATCATTGGCACGGCTAACTTTGGGTAGAACAGCTATAGTAATGTATAAATATCATAATATATTATACTACTGGAGTGGGTTTTGTTAGGACAGTGGTTCACAACTCAACACTAGGCACTGACCACTTTTATAAATTTTTCACCGTCACATCCACAGCCTGATTTCAATCCCCCTCTTTATATCACTTATTTTTTTTATACTTTTCTAGTTTATATAGGTACAAAATAAAATCATAATTGCAGTTTATGTTGTGGAAAAATATTTTAACTTTTTTATTTAAAAATTTAATTTAAGAAAAAAGGTGATACACATTCAAATGTTAAATTTAAATGTCTTCAAACCACCAGTTGGAACCAATGGATTAGGACATCTTTTATTTAACAAGGACCAAAGACGGATTAGGTAAGTGGCAGGCCAGTCAGCTATTTTAAAACTTTGGGCCATCTTTTACAGAAAATAAATAAATTAAATAAATTCAATATTTTTATCAAAATACTATCTATTGTGGTTTCTTACCAGTTACTACACTAACTATTTGTTACTTTATAAAAGTCTGATTACAAAAAAATACAGGCTATACATTTTAGAGATTTTACTATACCACTTCACCGACCACGACCGTAAACACTTACATACTAAAAATTAGGGATTTGGCTTTGGCTACCTGGTAGTAAGTAAGAAGAACAAGATTTATACAAAGAATTACATCATACTAAAAATATGTTATCAAAACGAATACGTTATTTTTGATTATACTTTATGGCACTGGTTTTCAAACTGGGTGGAATGGCACACTAATGTGACGCGAGCATTCACTAAGTGTGCCACGGTCTTCTGAAAAATGGCAAACTATTCGTCCAAGATTAGAATAATAAAATAATAAAAATATAATTAATAGCAATTTGTTAGTCCATCAAGCACACATTTTCTAATTATATGTAAATATAATTACAATTCAAAACAATTTTGTTCATCTAATTATTAGGCGCAAAAAAAAATTCAGTGTGTCGTGAACATTTTTTGAAGAGCACTGTGTGCCGTGTTTAATAAAAGTTTGAAAACCGATGCCTTATAGCATTGACATTTTTTGGTTTCGAATTTGGTAGCGTTAACCAATTTATATTTAATTTATATAATACTTGATAACATTTTCAAAATAAACCTTGAGAAGTTTTTAGAAATTTGTAAATATTTTAGATTCTGAGCCAAGCTATATATTATTAGCTATCCCTGCGTAGGTCGCGCGGATTACCATTGTAATCCATCTAAAAATAAATGTTTTTTTCGTATATTGAAAACCAATAAAATTATCTTATCTTTTCAGTACCTTCGAATAACATGTTGCTTAATATAATTAGTTTGTTTCCGAATACTGGTCGCTAAAGTTGTCGTTGTTATCGGAGTTCAAAGTGTGTTGGATTACTAGTGTATGCCGCTCGATCTTTCACGCCCCTTTTTTTTTCAGTTTATTTTATATATTTAACATGTACAAATTTATAAAGTACTCTTGTTTTTTTTTATTATTAATATAGAGAGCTAAAATATATGTAAGATACTTAAATATTAATATGTTTATACAGAAATATTATAAAAATTTAATTACATTGAGTATCATTACAATTTAAGAAAACAAATTCTAATAAATTATTATTTATTCTCATTTAAGTTAAAGTTCATATTCTAAGGTAAACAAATTTTAATTTTAATTTTTTCTTTATCGCAATATATTTTTCCATATGTACTTAGTATATAACAATAATTTAAATTTTCAATATAGACTTAGAACCTATTCAAAAAAAATAAAAAAATAATAGATCACAACTGTAATCCGCGCGACTACTGGCGTACTATCAAGGCACGCGACCTACTTAGGGCTATAATATATGTATTTATTTCACAATGATGTGTGTTTTTTTTGTGTCTGTCATCACGGTTGGGGGCAGTAAAACTGCTTCGATTTTTTCAACAGTATTTGGTTCGATGAGAAAGTGAATCTAGTTTCACCAAAATTCCCAATAGTTTTCAAAAATAACATAAAATTAAGGAAAATCGGGAATCGATTTTGGATTTGTTTAAAACTCTAAAAGAAATGGCCGTAAATACATGACGTTTTCACTGAACATATTTTATATTGTCATTTTATATACACGGTAAAATTTTCAAAATATTTTGAATTGTTTTGATCAGTTTATAAGCAATTTCAAAATTCCAATTTTTTCAGTTTTTTTTATCTATGAATGTCAATTACATTTTATTTGTTGGATAAAAAAGCTTGAAAATTGAATACAAAACTCCTAATATATGTTTTTAAAGACCCAAGAAAAATATTAAAAATCAACGGACACAAATTTTATTTTTATAAACAGTTACGCTATGTCCTATCTGGTTTGCACGCATGCGGGGAAAAACAAAATAGTTTGTATTTTGCCGCATGCGTGCAACGCATTGTGTGCAGAAGAGGGTGGGCAGTATATAAAACGCACTCACTCACCCACACTAGCTAGGACATAGGGTTAAAGTTCAACGAAAATACGAAATACGTAAATAAACGAAATACGTAAAATTCACAAAAATTTCCAAAATATTTTGAGTTAGAAATTCATAAAAATTTTCTTTTTAATTTACTATAATATTGTATAGGTACAAACTTATAAATATTATTGTTTATATAATATTGGCAAATATATTAAACGTAGTTATGTTAAGTTTAGAGGTTTATATTGTCTAGGATTCACTTCTATTAATATATATCTACTCCAATAATGTCTCCAGAAAACGAGCTTTAAGTTGAATACCTATATATATGTGTAAGTGATAATTTTTAGTGGAAGTTTTACATAAGTGCGCAAATTATAAAACGGTTTACCCAAAATAAGACAAACCGTCGGAATATGATATAATAATGATAACTTATTACGTTTTAACAGATATGCTATAATAAGGTAGTTTTTTTAATCTTATGAAACAACGCAATCCGTCGGACGTAAATGATAGGTGTTCGAAATACAAAGGTAGGCAAATTAATGAAAATAATTTAGTAACTGTGGCAAGTTAAGTTAATTCAATTAAATTGCCATCAGTTTAGTTAAAAGTTATCAAAAAAAAAATTAACTAGAGAAGTTAAAATAGATAAGTTGTGGTAGAAAATAAACTTGACTAATTGTTTTTCAAGTTACAACATTTTAGATTCTGAGTGAACGATGAATGTATTGATTTTACAATGATGTGTGTTTTTTTTTAAATTTTTTTTTGTATCTGTCATCACGTTTTAGGACAGTAAAAGTGCTTGGATTTTCTTCAACAGTAGCTTTTCTGATAGGAAAGTGAATCTAGTTGGTACTTTGGGGGGTCAAAAGTAAAAATTTCCTAGTAGTTATCACAATCGCCGGGAAAAACAACATAAAAATTAAGGAAAAACGGGAATTTTTACGCAAAATCTGTTTTCCAAAAAATCGATTTTGGTTTTTAGTGTAACTTTAAAACAAATGAACGTATATACATGAAATTTTCACTGGTTGTTTATATTTGCATTTTCTATACACGATAACATTTTCAAAATATTTTGATTTATTTTGAACTGTTTAGGGACATTTTCATTTTCCATTTGTTTTTAGTTTTTTTTCTAAAAATATCAATTAAATTTTATTTGTTGGTTGCGAAAGCTTGAAAATTTAATAGAATGCTCCTAGTATATTGTTTCAAAGGCAGTTGAAAAATATTAAAAATCCTTTGTCACAATTTTTTTTATAAGCATTTAAAGTTCAAAAATTGACAAAATATGGAAAAATCTGTTGAAAAATTTTAAAAATACATAAGCACAATTTTTTTTTATTGAATTTTGACAATATTTATTAAAATCTCTAAAATTATCAATTATTGTAATTAATAAATTATAAAATGTTCAGTTTTCATAGCTAAGGATTGCAAATTTAAAACAAAGGTTCTCATAAATAGTTCATACAGTAACCAAAAAATCTAAAAAATATATGAACACAGTTATTTTTTACAGACATTTTAAATTCAAATTTGGACGAAATTACATAATAAAAAACCTAGAATAACTATTTTAGTTATTTTGTTGTGATTGTATAATATTTTTCGTGGGTACTTGAAACTTCTAAAGTATACTACTATATTATATCTATGATAGTATCAGGGTTTGTTGTTGGTGTATAACGCGTTATAAGTACCTAATGGATATTGTGGTATGATTAATTTGGAATTCATTATAGGTCAATTTTTTTTAATACCGCATAGATCAGTGTTTCCCAACCGGTGGTCCGCGGTACCTTTCTTAGTTTTC